TTTTTCAAAAAAGCCAGACTATAATCAAGGTAATCAAATGAGTCCAAATATGGATTAGCCACCCATCTTCCCCATATAACTTCTGTGAAAATTTCACCTGCTTCCAAAGGTGGCGATTTGGGGCTATGGATGGCAACCAACCTGATATAAAAACTGCCAACTCCTTCACTTGATTGAGTAAGTTATTTTTGATCCAACAGGACAAGTTCTGGTGCGAATGTTCATATATAATGATAGAGTTTTCTATTTCAAACAGGCCGTCCTTCCCCTTGGAGCTGGTTCCAGAAAGTGGTGTTAAATTCTGTCCACTTTGGTCTCTCCACAGCACTCTGGGCTCAGGGAACCACCCTGCTGATCGACAAACCATTCGTATCCCTCCATCCTGGTAGTTCTCAAAAGAAATTTAAGGAGCAGAGCCTAAGCCTAGAGGAAAATTAGGGGCATTTCTGTAACAGTTATGATTTAATTTTGTAAACTGTAAGGCATGGTGCTGACAGCCTTTGCATTCAAGAGGATCGAGTACTGTCAGTTGTAAAGTTATGCAGGGAAGAGCACTGGTGTTTCAGTATCATGGGGCTCCTATAGATGTGTAGGGAGCTGGCTGTGATGAGCTGGAAATCCAGTGTATCGCAGCAGACTCAATAAATCAAGTCTGCAGGAGCACGGACATTAACGCACTCCAGCAGACTTTAGTGTCACATGAATCAGCATCCCCCACCCTGGGAAATGGTGGTGAGTGTCACCGAGTAGGGCGCAGGAGCGGCCGTGATCTCGCTAGTGCCCCCCTGCCGTGTCAAGTAGGTGATCCAGCACCCTCTATTCTCGCCCGCCACGTCTTGTTCGTTTATAGTTTTATATGGGAGGCTGCCTTTAGTCCACCTGGACACGGTGCTATAACTACCCGGGCTCCTACTCTCTATGGGGTGACCTGGTACACCGCAGCCTTATGGGCTATGCGTGCCTCCTACCTCCCCTTTAGCATGCCCCAAGCCTCACAGCTCTTCCGGATGTTATCTGGTTCCTTTCCTCTCCGCGCCCTGCCAGGCGCCCTTGGGCTTGTCATGCAACCGGCGCCCCTTCTCTACCGCCTCTGGGCTCATTACGCAACCGGCGCCCCTCTAGTCG